AAAGTATAATATTATAGTATATAAGTAATAAAGAAATATATAAAGGGTTATATATAAATTTTTTCCTATATTTGCAAGAAAAATCTTTTAATGACTAAGCATTTTTATAAGATAGAAAAAATAAATTATATTTATATCTTATGAGGAAAAAACTGACCTATTCTGTTTATATCTAATAGTGGTTGTTTGATCCACTGTGATAACAAACGCTGTCCAGGTATAGTTCTACATTTGTTTAACAAACCAAATAAGCTGTAGGACTTATTTTCTAAAAAAGATTAATAATATATAATTAAATAGACATTAAAAACATGTAGATTTATTAATGAAAATATTTATGGTTTACCATCTGATGAAGAAGGAATTAATCCAAGTGCTTTTACAGCTGCAGCATCCAAACGAACAAACTGAGTTAACTCAAATTTGTTTAATGTAAAATGTCCAAAATTATTTTCATCAGATAAAAGCTAGAGAAAAATTAAAAAATGCTAAAGTTAAGCATTTACAAATATATAATTGTTTGAATCCTTTTAGGATTCAAACAATTATATATTTACAAATGATCTTTCTAGATCTTTCTTTTGAATCCTTTTAGGATTCAAAAGAAAGATCTAGGATTCAAGACGGCTTGCAAAGTGGCTACCAAAGTTCAACAGTTTTTATAATTTAATTTCATCCAAACTGTGATATTTTTAGTCTTAAAAAGTAAACAGAAACTGTTGTATTTTACAGGATAATATGAAAAATCAAATTCTGAAATAAATTAATCTACTATCTACTAGTAATTAATTTTTATTAACTTCTAAATATCACTTTTGGATAACTGTTATTATGTTCTATGTATGTATGTCTCTTTAATCCGACATTAAGTTCGGTAGATTATCATTACAGCTTTCAGGTTAGACACTTCTTTTATTGTTTCCACATATGCATTTCGGACTTATATAAATGTGAAGTCCCTGTCAGTGCAATACTATGGTTCTGTCTCCTAAAACCACGGTGTACAACGGGTAACATTGGAAAGATTTTAAAATACAGCCATTAAAAATACCTCAAATACATTTTCACCATTAATATGGAAACTTTTAACATTTGCTCATAATATCTTATATAAGTACAACTTTTAAAGAATGTGTATGTTTTACAATATAACGTTGCAGTAACTGCAATTATAATTGTTTTACAGATAGCATAGTAATATTAAAAACATTTTTTAAGGGATATATACACAATTTTACAATGTATTTCCAATTTTTATTAACTTTATTACCTTGTATTAAAATCTAAATAATATAATATAATATAAATAAATAAATAATTCCATATGAATTATTTATTTTATATACAACAAAACCTCTTGCATCACAACAAAATATCAGTTTTATTCATAGAATTAGTTTTAAAAGAAATGTTATACTTCCAAATATGCTTACAAAAGGAAATAATGAAAAAATGAAAACACTTTTAAACCATTAAAAATAAATTAATTCAAATAATTTAAAAACATTTTTTGAACAACAACAATTAAAAACTTTCTAACAAAGCTCAGTAATTACAATTTAAATTCGCAATGGAGTCTTTCAAAACAGTACAAAAAAATACCATTGATAGCAGGCATAAAAATATCCACTGAATTGACTATCAATATTAATATCCGATATTTAAAAAAAATATATATATATATTAGCAATAAAGATATAGTAAAGCAGAATAAGAATAATTGAATACTACTATTTTAAAAAGTTAATTAACTATATGCAGAAAAATATGAAATCAATTTGCATAAGTGAAAACAGTTGTACATATACTTTTTGCATTCTTTTTTTATAAAATGTCAATTAAATGCAAAATATTAATTAAAGTATATCATCTTATACAAAAGAAACATCTTTATATAGGGTCTGTACAGGTAATTTCAACTGTGATTCCCTGACCAATTATGACATTATTCCGACCTGTTAAGGTCACTTCATTTTCCCTTTCCATTATGTAATATTTAGACAATTTTATTTAAGCCCATTTTGCTTTGCTTAAAATCAATTACATAATTAGCTGCATCACTTCTACATCATATAAAAAAATTTCAGGATTTTATTTAAATAAGAAAAAACTTGAGTCATTTCATAAAATCAAATTTCCTTAAAGCAAAGAACTGGGAAATTCAAATTTAAGCAGAATAAATCACATTCTCCACAAGAAAAAAAAATGCATATTGCATGTTATTTTTAATCCAGCATGGACCCATTTAAAATCATTACATTTCTTCCCATTCTTCCCCAAAACTCATAATGAGAATGGCGGGGTTTTGATGAGAAAGTGGGTGATTGTCAATTGTGTTTTTGAAACCCAACTTTAAATCTATGATAAATCTATGGTATACTTCCGAAATTCAGCAGGCCATCTGAAGACAAAAATTTATAATTAGAGAGAAAGCATATCACAAAACATCAATCCATAAACATTGGCAGGATTATCATCTACACTAGTAGCCTGGGACGCCCCCTAGTGGGCGTTCTTTACAAATTCCCATGAGGCACGGTTCCTTTGACTTTTTTCTTTTTATCAATATGCTCTACAGCTCTGTTAAAGTCCCAATCACATCATACGGATCTAGATTTCTACCTATTAAACATTCTATAAATACTTTAAAATAGTTTAATTTGTTTATTTACCTTTGCTTGTAAACCTCGATTTTAAATGTATCCACCATTTTTTCAACTAATTTCCTGTGAGTCAATGTGCGACGTTCATTGACTTGTGAGTCACAGGATGTTGTAAATGTGCTACACAAGGTTAACCACGGCATATAATAAGGCAAGGCTAGGCATATAATAATTATTTATACCATTCCGTGGTATAAATAATAAATTCCTATTACAAATAAAAATAATTTATTGTTAATTTAAAATCATTGCTATGGTGCCTCTAGTGTCCGGTTTTGGCATACAGTTACGCGTTCAATGGGTTATACAGATAGATGTGCTGTATGTGGCCAGCAGCAAAGAATGTAACAAATAAAACTACATGAATTGAGCTTCAGTTTTTGTAGACCTCCCTATACCAAACCAAATTTAAAGATGTATTTGGATCAAAAAAGGAGCAAGCATGACAGATAAATAATGCAATATTTGCAGATTTCCTAACTTTTTCTGCTAAAAGTCTTATTCCCTATATTTCCAGGTCTGTTCAAACCCTGTTTATAGAACTTCTTAGGCTATGTCTTACGAGCAGCGTCCAGCAACCGCAGGCGTGAATGTTCTTCCAAGCAAAGCAAACCAACTGGTTCAAGCAAATGTGCGCATCCAGAGTAACCACGTTTAGCGTGCAGCAACCACCAGATGATGCTTCTACATGCGTGTGCCAGAAGCAGCTACCAAGCTAGTTTGATCACTGCATCCACTGCTCACACTTCCAAAGTAGAAAATGGCTGATTTTGTAGATAAATAAAAACAGAATGACAAATAAATTGTGTATATATGTTGTATGTACTTTAATTAATAATCTTTTACATAATTTAATAATTTCTGAGTTTGTATAAATGTAATGTTTTAAAAATAAAACTTTTTCCATAGTAGCATTCAACGAAGTCTTCTTGCCACCATCTTGTAAACAACGTGCATCCACTCTGGACAGAAATTGCTCACGAGTTGGAAGTGTGTACAAAGATTCTTTCTGCTCACGTTCTCTGGACGCTGCCATGTAGGATGTACCCTTACAGAAACACCTTATGTAGAACAGGAAAAAATTCCACTTGTTGTAAAGAACTGTTTGCAGAAATATACTACAAACATCTGTGAAAACAGTCATGAAGTGCATATGTACAAGATGTTAATGTTAAAAGTTAACATTAAATGATTAAAGATGATTGTAACCTCTTTAGTTATGCACACAATCTCCAGCAGATGGAGATAAAAATGTAATACTTTTTCTATAGGAAAATCCTTTTCCAAAAATTCTCAAAAATGAAAGTAGATAGAACCAAACACTTTTTTGCAATAGAAACCTATTCAATTTTTATTTTAATATATAATTCAGAATTCTGAAAATCAAATTCATTATTTTTATACATATTTTCTACAACTTTAAAAGTTTGTAGAAAATTGACAAATTATCATTTGATAAATCTTAATACAGTGTATTGAATTTTGTAGTGCATGTTATCTAAGTTTTAAACTTGGCCATTGGAAATAATTGATATTCTTGAGTAAAATGTATCAAAACTGAAAAAAATTATTATATCTTGAATACAGAATTAACAAAGTTCATTTGGTAACGTCATCCAGGAAGGACATTTTCTATTGCAGATTAAATATACCAATTTTATTGGATGGTGCAGTGCTGCATACCCAAATTCAAAGACTGACAAAATTTGATAAGTTAGGATTACATTGAAATAATTTAAAACTTTCTATTTGGGACAGCATGACAAATTATAGATGACAGGATTCTTTGTGAAGAATATGATAAATATAATTTTATAATTCAATAAAGCTTGCTTATTTTCAAGTAAAAGTCATTTTTTCATTTCTTCTCATATTATTTTTGACAGGTTTTTACTTCTCATTAAGTTTTTGTAAAAAATTATCAATTTTACCAAATGACTAAAGGATTTTATTTCTTCTGCAATTCTTGATTGGTTTCAATTTGTATATTATATTTATTTTATTTTATATTAAATTTTAATAAGATTATTAAAGTTCTAATGGAAAGTAAAAACAAATTAGACTTCATTGTAATCAGAAAATATTACAGCACCATATTGTTANCAATACATACAAGTAAAGTACAGTATTTTCTGAGGAAACACTCATACTTATTTTTTTTAACCCCATTCCCGTAATCCAGCATTTTCACAAATTTAGCGACCCTTCGGTCCACATTAGGCCAAGTTTTCGAGACTCTACTGTAATGTAATTAAAAGAAAATAATACCCTTCAATTTCCAACAAAACTTGTTTAATTTAACTTAAATTAATGCGTTCAACCCTCTTTTAATGGTTTCTACAGGTAATCACTACTAGAAGGAAATCCAAACTGGAAAATAATTCAAAATTAACACAAACCATTTCACTTTCCAGCACAGTTATTTAATGTTTGGATAAATGTATTCAAACTGCTTTACAGATCAACGGTCTATATATACATTAATATATTTTTTATTCTATTTCTGGAACATTAGAATATTTAAAGTGCTGGAAAGTAAAAATATTTTTTGTGTGTTATTTTCAACCACTAGTAGAACATTTAAAATAAAAATATTCAAAAATGAAATGTCAATGTATATAGAACAAAATATATGAATATTTAAATTATGGCAGGCAATTAACAAAAACAAAGTTTCACTGGAAATTGAAGGTGTTATTTTCTTCTAATTGGGTGGAGCATAAGCAGAACTCTGGATAAGTCAGAAATTTTGTCTGTAGTTGAAGTTTAAAGCAACTGTATGGCAACTGAACATGATTTTTTACAGATATGTTCAACTTGGCAAGGCTGATGCTATGACAAAGTCAGTATTTTGAAATTTCAATCTATGGGTCAAGACATTCAAAGTCAAAGTTTGCCATGTAAAGTCTATGAGTCAATTGCAAGCCAGTCATGCACTACATGTCAATCAAGTTTCCAACTGCTGTCAATTTACATTTTGATCTCTAAGATAATCTTTAATTTTGATCATTATGATGGCATTTAATATGCATGGTCTGCAGCTGCATATGTGGGTGTTTTAAACATTTCTTGATATTTTGGTTAGTTATGAAGTTGGACATGTATGTTCTTCTCTGAAACCTGTGTGTTTTAAACTGCTTTAGAAAAAACATTAAAAGCATGTCTCCACACATGTGAAGCAGAAACAGGAAAACCTATGGTACAGACCTTAATTTTCCTAAAAAATACCTAGTATCCAGTTGTTTAGCATTCACCTTGAGATTATGTAATAGAATATAACAAAGAAAAAATTCTCATAAAAACATCAAATAATTTTCTTAAAACTTTAGATTTTAGAAATAAAAGTTAAAAAACCAATTAGAACTAATTTATTTTTCATCAAAATAATTCAATGGCATTATATATTTTTCATAATTCTTAAATTAATATAATTCAAAATAGCCAGCCAACATATTTACAAAACAATATATAAATGAATTTGTGAATAAATCTTTATAAAACCAGTAATTTGTAAATTAAATATTTTAAAATTACTTATAAGTTAATTTACAATTAATTTTTATAAATACAACNTCAATTTATTTTCTAAGCTGTATTAAATATAAGGTGTCTCAGAAGAATAGGTCAATATTCTGGGATGTGAAAGAATAGGCTATTTTAAGCAAAAACATTAATGTAAGAATATGCTCTACTCCAAATGGTTTCTGAGATAGAGGCATTTGAATATTTAATTTTTCACATGACAAATTTCCAATAGTTTATAATCAATTTTCAAAAATATCACTGTCAACTTCAATGCATTTTTCTATTCTCATGAGAACATGGTAATATACATTGCTTGTCTTAGTGTAAACAAAATTACCTTCTTGATAACTGGATTGATGACTAAGAACATCAAACAAAACCTTTACCATCCAATAAATAATTTTAATGTAAAATTTGACAAACATTTTCAATCTTACACAAGATCTGCATCAGATCAATAACATTCTAAATAGGAATGCATAGAACCTACTTAACTGCACCACACCAGGATGAATATATAAAAAGAAAGCGACTCACAATAACCAATTAACCAGAGTGCTAAAGATCAATATTTGTGAACATTTTCAAAGCCCCTTCTGGGCACTTCATCAGGTTTCTTTTTTTTATTCCAAACAAGCTTGAAGGTTAACCCCAAAGATTCAAAGGCTAATGACCAGCTTGTTTGAGATCAACATTCCAGGTAGAATCTAGGTAGATTCTAGTAGAACATTTAAAACAAAAAAAAAAAAAAAAAACATATATTGGAGAGACAAAAAGAAAATTAAAGATAAGATTAAACAAACATATTAGAGCAATACGTGGAAATTATGCAAATTCTGCGGTAGCGGAACACTGCAATTCAACAGGATGTGAGATAATATTAAAATCAGTTAAAATAAGAAAAAAAGAAGAAAATAATTATAAACGACAATTATACGAACACATTAATATAATCAAACAAAATAATAAAACGAATAATAACAACGGAAGAGAAATACACCAATCATGGAGAAGAATGATAGATACAGAAAGGAAATTAACGTATAAAGAGAATGATAGCAACTGGGAAAGACAAAGTGAAAGTGAAGAAAGACAAGTGAAAATGTAAGTTAGAATTGGTTTTAAATGCATAAATATGTAAAATGTTAAAGTTTAAAGTAAAAATGTTAGTGTTTAATAGAACAATTATTGGTTTGATACAGGAATGTTTTAAAATTGATATTAATTGTAATTGGAGTGAATTATTGGAGGAAAAGTAGATTTGAAAGAAAGAACGAAAAAATAGTATGAATTTTATAATTTATTATAGTAGGCATAAAAATTTTTTTAAAATATTGTCAGTAAATTAATTTGTNATTACTTTTAAATTTTTACCTGAAGATTTGACAATGCATCATTATCTGGAAATTCTGAAACTAAAATTTTTTGAGAAAATGCATCACCATAAGCAACTCCTACCATCTAAAACAAAATACACCAATTAAAAATCCTTTTACTCACTTAAATGATGATAAATTCATTTATACTAAAAGAAATTAATTTTGTTCTCATTTCTCAAAAGAATGTAGGATATTATTATATAATCTAATACTACTCATCTAATCATTTATGTTCAGATCTTACTTTTTGTACATCTGCATAGATCATATCTTCAATCATTCTGTGCTTAATTTTCTCAGGGATGTAGCCAGAAAATTTTTAAGTGTGGGTCACCCACACTTAAAAATAGTATGGCCTGATAGACTTAATATGGGGAGGTCGACTACCATAAAAATGCTATACTCATATACTAACAACACATTATTGTGCAGGGAGCTGCAATACTAATATGGCAGCTCTTTGCATGTCACATCCAGGCCATACACAAACTAGCAATATATATGGCAATATTCAATAAAAAGAAGGAAAGGTTTAACAAAAACAAGTATTAAATTTTATTCTTCATTATATCACGGTTGTTCATATAGCCTAGTATGTAGCCTGATGTGCTTATTTTTCTGGTTCATCCACATTTCTGGTCAACTGCTTCCGACATTCTTTTTCTTACACTCATGAAGTAGTAAGAGAATTAATTTATTTAATTTAAAATATATGCTCTCCACTGCAAATTAGTAGTGGCTTGTCCCTGTACACCATACTTTTCCTTTAACAGTAGAGTCTTGCCAGCCATCTATCTAACACCTTTCAGTGGAAAAGTTCTGAACTGAAATAAGGTGACTTCCAATTTGCATCAGAAGTTCTTATATAATTAATTGAGGTATCCTGCCACTAAGGTTTCCATATCTGGTCTTGTTTTTCATCTATTTAACTCCATTCTCTAGATTAAGGAAAGACAGTGGATGGATGACAGTGGGAATTTATAGGTCTACAATTTTTTCAAATTGCAGCCCAGCATTATGACATGTCACAATAATTAATTGCTCACTTTATTTATTTTCTATTTTGTTTCAGTTTTTTTGAGTTTGAATGTTGAGTTATATTAAACCTCAACTGCTATCTCAACACTCCCTGGTAATATTTCATTTTCATAATGAATGGGAATCATATCCAACTAATTTAGGGTTTAAAATAAGACTAAAATACAGTATTAAATAGAACTGAACTACATTTTGTAACCAGATATTAATAGAAACACTAATTAGGAAACATTTTATTTTTGTAAGCATGTTCAATATACAAGTTAACATTGTATAAAAACCTATTGTCAAACTGATACAGAAAGCTAGACTTCACTCTTGCTGATCAGTGCATAGCTTTGGAATTGTAAGCTATTGATAATTTTAAGTGATTGATTGAATTAGTGCTGATTAAGGGTTCTTCTATTGCTAGAGTCTCTTTCCAATTGTTTCAGATTTTGAGTAATTGTAATTTTGTAAATAGTAGACTACTAATAAGCAATTAATTGTTGTAAATATGAATCTGACATTTGTAATATTTCTGTTTTATGCCAACTTTGTTATTGAAATTATAACTTTTATTCTGTAGTGAGAAAGTCCAGACCTGGCATTTATAGTATAATAGTTTTTTTAATATTTTATGAATTCTGATGCAAGGATCATTTTCTTTGACATTTTGGTCCTTGCAAGTTTGGTGCTCAAACAGGAACTAGAGTTTCAATAATTTCCCATTAACTGATCACCAGAAGTGAATCTAGCTTTCTGGATCAGTTTGACAAAGGTCTTTTATACAATGTTAATTTGCAAACAGATGATACAAATTAGTGGGATGCAATTCCATTCATTATGCACACATTAATATGAGATTATGCAAATGAAGTACAGTGGGTGATCGGTTAATGAACAAATCAGATAATGAACACTTTTGCGAAAGATTTTTATGTTTGGACAACAAACACCTTGTAAGGAACCAAGTTCGAGCATTATTTTTAGTTATTTTTTATTTTGCTTTTTATTCTATTTTTGTTTGGGGCTTATGTTTTGTTAGGACGAAGAAACCTTCGTCCTAATAAAACATAAGCCTTTCCTCACCAGTCACCTTAGAAACTTAAAAATAGAAGAAAGAGAATCAACTCACCGACAAAAAAAAGTGCTGTAGAAAAACTTGCGCACACTTGTGCTCCTGAGCAGAAAAAAGCAAGTCCACACCAAGAAAGGGAGGAGACCCCACAAGCAAACTTAGGAACTTGCTAAACCTTAAAGAATAAAACATCCCAAAAAATTATAAAAAAGAATAATGTAAAAGATTAGCAAGTATTGTCAGGAAATAGGCTGCCAGACAGAAAGGAAAAGTTTCCTGTTAGCGATAAGTATGTAAATGAGGGGAGTGATCTCAATCAGAATTTGACATCACCTTGTAATATAAAGTCCGAACCTCAAGTGAAGATGACCGAGGTGAGCTTCTGTTAGCAATAAGCGTGGCGAGCTTCATAGCAGCAAATGACAAGAGGTGTCTGATAGCAATAAAGTGGTTCCAAGGCAATTTGTGGATCAAAGATTAGAAAGTCTTGAGAGTTGAGGAAAAAGGTTCCTAGTATATTGAGGTGACGATTAGGACCTTAGTTCATAAGAATTGTTGTACATAAGTTAAGTCTTTGAATTTTTTTGTCGTGTTCAAAAGGGGAATATATTTAAGTTAGCAAATAGATTGATTTGAGTTTTGTCGGGTTGATTCTTATTGATTTTCTTTCAATAAATTTGTTGTTAGATTGTTACTAATTTTTGTACATAGTCATTATTAGAATTTATTAAATATTGGATTGGTTTTGACTAACTTTGTCATTATTTCTTTCGGTACACGCTTAAAGTCCAGTCCTGGCACATTAACGCGAATCCATGTAAAGTACCCATTAGGTAACAGCTATTTCCGGCAACAGTCGTGTCGTTAATCGTTGTAAAAGTCATAAAAATAACTTAGTACTTTACAACCTCACAGAACAAACACAAAAAGAAGCGACATAAATAATAAAAACCGACTGGTTTTCCTTTGACTTCAGGCAACAATTCAAAAATTTTCTGAGCATGGGAGACATCGATGATCAACCAAGAATATACTGATCAGATAGTATTCCTCCAAACCTTTAAACTCTCTTTTGTAATCCAGTCTTTTATTTTTCTGACAGAAACAATTCTTTTATAGTATCTGCAAGACTGCCCGACAGTCTTGCAGATACTATAGGCACTCATTAAGTTTTGCTTTGATTTTCATTTTTGAAAGGAGAGTATAATAGCAAAAGTAGAAAGGTACAGAGTGGGCAGATGTCTGATGTCTGATGTTGCTGGGCAGTATGGCTTGAACAAGTCTACTGTAGGCCACAGTTCAATCTTATCTAAGAAAGATACTGTATAATCAAGAAGACTCAAGCAGCTAAAGGAGTACAAAAATCTGAGAAACAAAAAACATTAAAGAACTCATAATGGAACCTGAAACTGATCTGATGACAGAAGAACGCCAAGAACTCTTGAATAAAGAACACCAAGAAACTCGGCAAGATATGTTTTTTTCTGAAAAAGAAGATTAATGCCTATATCTGCTATTAAAGATCTTTTGAAGAAGTGAGAGAACGTCAGAACAACAGTCTTAGAATGGCATTCAAACCAGGTTGAGGTTAATAAGCTTGAGGATCTCTACAATTACAATGCTATTAATTACTTCTGAAAAATCCTGAAGAAGAAAGAAAAGCAATTGACATTAGACAGATTCTTTAACCTCACAAACAAAAAAACACATGACTAATAAAAATGCAAGACTGTGTATATATGTATTTTTATTATTACATATAAATAAACGTAGTAAGAAAGCATATATTTTTTATTTTTTTGGGGTCTCCAGAACGAATTAATCAAATTTCCATAAAAACATATGGTAAAGCGATAATCAGTTAATGAACAAAGTCTTGGAACAGATTATGTTCGTTAACCGATCACCCACTGTACTAGGTTAGAAGTGTTGAGATAACAGTTGAGGTTTAATGTAACTCCCAAAACTCAAAAATATCCGTTTACTTTTAAATTTGAGTTTAAAGGTAAATGATGTATTTTTGAGTTTACTTTTAAACTTGAGTTTAAAAGTAAACAATAAATACTGTTTACTCTGTTACTGTTGCAATGCAACAGTGGGGTCAACAGAGAATAAGGAGTGGAAGAGCATTAGTTTGGAAAATGCTACCCCTTGCAGCTACACCCCTGCATCTGTACATATTCTTACTTTACACAAATTCTTCAATATCATACAATATCAAAGCTTCAAAATAAAATTTCTTAAGATAAAAAAATTTTTTTCAATCTTAGAGAAAAAACTTTTTATCTAGAAAAAAACAATAATTTTTCTTAATAATAATGTAAGTTTATATTATTAATTTGTTTTATTAAATGGTTAAAATATTTTATGTACAGGTATACCTTGAGTTACATCGTTTGTCAAAAAAAAATATATGGAAGAATAAAAATCAACTTTAAGTCATTTTATTTGACTTTACATATGTCTTTACATTTGACTTTACATCTAATATTACTAGAAAATTGTTAAAAGCACATAAAATCATATTAAAATACATACATTTACAGTAAATGTTAATATAATCATCATAAATCGTAGAGAACGAAATATGAAAACATCTGTGACTCTGTGTTGTCGTCTTATTTGGTGGTCTTATATGTGGAAAATGCCCAATATTAGCATTTTTCACAGTAGTTTTAATATCTACTGTTTGGTGTCATTGTTAGCGCCACTCAATATTGGTAAATTTAACATAAATTAGTTTATTTTTTACTATTGCAAAATAATTTTAATAACTGTATTTGGTATCTAACCTTACAAAATCATCTTATTTTATAATGTCTTAGAGCAAACCATATTCACAAATAAAGAGTCCGCGATGTACTGTAAACATCGCCAAATTGTAAACATGTATATTTACAAGTACATACATACTGTACATGTATTCGTAAATTTAGATTACTTTTTTTCCTATACTATATTAAAAACTAAAATTTATTTGTTTG